AGGCCCCCGCCCGCCCTTCGCCCCAGAGGAAGGGGCGGGAAAGGCGGTTCCAGTCAGGGCGGTGGATTCGGGCAGCTCCGCTCCCTCCTTCCTTAAAACCGTCCCGTTCTGCCATGAAGGGAGGCGTTAACGAAGTAAATTTCCTTGATAAATGAACAGCAGCAACGGCCCGTTGAGTTTAACGCGCTACATCTGGCAACGCCCAGACCCCGAAAGTTCCCGCTGCCTTATGTGTGACATTTTCTCGATTAGCTTTTTGTAACGTAGTTAACTGTACGTTATAGAGGCTGAAACGAGTGGGAAACACTCTTCTTTATTCTAACAGCAAGATGCTGGGCCTCTAGCTCAGAGAGGATAAAGAGGAATAGTGGGGGATCATGCAGAAAAAAACCCTCTTCTACCCAAAAGCAGCAAGAAGAAAAAAAAAACCACAAACCAACAGATACCAAGTTCGTGAACTTACTATGCCTGTGCTCAATAAATACAATAATGAAATCCTTAAAATTACTCATACCAAGCTGTCTGAAGATACCAAGTAAGAATAAGCTCTCTTCCTAAACTGCTTAATCCATGAAAAACTACTCGTGTGCAATCTCAAATGGTAAGGATGAAATAGCAATGTCAGATTAATTAGAAACTGCTCTTTCACCTAAAAATAAACTGAGGTCTTTAAAACATTTTTTTTCTACTCTTCATTTATTGTACGGTTGTAAAAATGTAAAACTCACTTTTAACTCCTAAATTATGTATTTCTAGATGTTGTGGCTGAGGAGGTAATAAATCTGAACATTAGAAAATACAAATGTAACACATGCCACAGGAATTTTCTGCTTTGTGATTAAATGCAACTTTTTTTATTTTCCTCCCCGTTTACTGATCATTTATCTCTGACACTGCAGCTTGCCTTGTGAGGAACACTCAAATGATACTGTATTTTGGTTTGCTATTCTAAAATATGTGGAGCTAGCGCAAACTCTGCAGCAGGTCAGTGCAGATGAGCTGAATGTAAGGTGGGTATGGGGGTTGTCTGTGAAGTACCACAACTAGCACCGCCCCAGGCAGCCAGCATGCAGATTCTGTCTGAACACCTGCTCTTCCTCTTGGTTATCTGAACACCACTCCTGGTAACCTGGTCAGGGCTGTGCAAATAAAACTGGCTTGGAATGAAGTGTGTTCTGTGGTTACAATGTGAATTTTCCATCAAGATGAAATCTCTTGGCTCTGCTGCAAAGCCAGGTGATTTCCACAGTAGAACATGAGCTCTTTTCCCACATTAGTAGCAATTTCTAGATCCATTAAGATCAGAAAGCTTAATTTTTGATGGAAGATTCAAACAGAAGCCAAGGATTTAATTTATATACACTATGTGCAAACAAAAGTTCAGATATGATCTCATTTTTTAAAGTGATGTCCTAATATCACTGAGAGCTTTGTGAAGTAAGAGTAGCAGCCTACTACCTTCTTCAGAGAACAAGAGACTGGCAGCTTTCTAAAGGAATGTTAACACCTTAATTTTTCTCTCTCATTCTGGAAGCAGCATAATTGTCTTTCAGGCAGCTGTAGGATACCCGCATAAGGAAGAGGTCACTGTCATTGCAGGGGGATGAAGCCCTGATTCAAACAGAAGAGGGGTGACATGGAGCACTTTATAGCTGCTGCATCAGGTGACACTGAATTATGTATGTAAGAGTCCATATTTCCATCTAGTAAACAGAAAGCAGAAATATGCCATGCAACACATGCACAGTTGTCCAAAACATCCAAGATTGTATGTGTTGTTCTGAGAACAACTGCAAGTGTACTATACAGTCTGTAAGTGCTTCATTATCACCTTCATATGCTTCAAGGACATCGTGGGGTCATCCTGCCACTCACTATGGCACATTCCTTTGGGACTTTGAGATGTCAAACAGCTCCCACAAAAGCTACAGTACTGTGAGGGCTACCAGACAACATATGAACTGCACTGGCCAATACAAATTAGGGAAGATAAAATGAATTTAATGTTCTCTTAATTTGCCCTGTTCCTTGATGAACTTAGATGCAAATATTACATGATTTCCTGCACCATCTGTCTTCCTCAAAGAACAAACCAAATTCAAGCCTCCTTCAATGGATGGAATCTACTATTAAAAAAAAAGGTGGCTATTCCTGCCAGGATACCTCTGCTTTGACTAGTCACAAAAGCATGCTTTACACTTCCCAATTTCCAGAGAGATACAGCAAGACAGACATTTTTCAATAGTGACATCTGTATATTTATGTACTAAGACTAGTTAAACTTCATCGTGAATCAAGGAAAATTTTGTAAATTTAGCTCCCTAAACTGATACTCAAAATTTAGTCACTAGCCAACTACTATAACACTGTTAAATAAAAGACAGTTGAGATGTCAGAACATAATTTAAGTATTCAGAACTTAGTAGCACCATCATAATAAAAAATTATTAATAAAAGGAGACATTGTTATAGTGGGAATGTATTTAAGGTCTCTTTGTGCCATGAGGACTTGTCTAACACAACTCTTGGAAAATCCTCTTTTAAGTGTCTACATTGCCAAACTCTGGATGCTCATTTAAGAATCTTGTAAGCTATATAGAAAAAAAAACAAATTACAAAGACTATATTATACAACAAACAATATCAAATGCAAAATCACTTCATTATGAACTATTATTGCTATATTCATTTCAAATAATATGAACTTATTAATTATATACCAAAAAGCCTCCCCAGAATTTTGGTAATTAGCAGAACATTTCAGTTTCTTTAATTGCTTCCATCAGAGTCATTTGTTCATTTTATTAACACCAGATGCAATAACACAATGCTAAAAATAAACATGCATTATACAACAAATTTGTATTTTTCAAAAAATGTTCATTACAATTAGTGAATGCACATGTAACTCTCTTCCCCCCCCCCGCCCCCGCCTTTAGTGAATTACTGTTTGAAACAGAGAAAAGGGAAGGAAGGTAAAACCAAACTTAATGCTATTCAGCACCAGTAGAAAGTCAATAGACCTTTAACATTCCTGTATATCAAAAACATTTTATCTGTATCACTAAACAGGTAAAGTTTACAATATTGTCCCATTTGAAGATGTAATGATTTATATTTACAATACTTTGTAGTCAATAAAACATTTTAACAATATTTAAAAATTGCTTAAATTCATAAAAGTATTGCAGAAATTTATAACATTTACTTATTTTACGTACATACAAGGAAGTCCATGTAAAACTGTCCATGTTCATCTGAAGAACTGACAGAGTAAGGAGCAATTTTAATAGTTTGCAAAACCCCAATTATTTGAAGGCAGCTATCATTAAACATTCAAAAATCCTTAGTTGCCATTTGCTTCTGAAAACTAAAGTTCCAGTAATAAAATTGAGTATGTAAACTAACATGTTTTTGAGATCAGTAGAAAATATATTCCCACAGGCATAACAGATTTAACAATGATGATAATGACTTTGTAGAAAACTGTTGAACTGTAGTGATATCTGAACAGACAACTAGGTAATGGTCTTTGCAAGACCCACAGATATAGTCATTTTCAAATATCCAGTATTTTAGCAGCTCATTGTGTTTCCAGTTAAATTTCCTACAGTGCTAAAATACGACAACTGAACGTGTAAGACCTTATTAGAACTTTAAAATCCAATTTATTTTGGCATCAAAAGCCAAAATCTAGCCAAGTAACACTGACTTCTGCAGTCTAAGAGCCAATAATAAAACAACCAAAAGTACGCACTGTGTTTTAATCTCCAAATAACTAGGTACCCAAAATTAAGAAAAGGTAATAGAAAAGTAAAAAGAACAAAATAAAAAAATATTGCACAGCCACATTACCTAGAAAGTAAAGTTGATGTTAAAAAGCCCTAAGTGTGGATGATATAAATTATCTTCCATATAAAAAGTATAAATATCT